GGTGAGCCTTAAGTCCAATGGGACTGTCATCCTTGTAGGTTGAGGAGGAGACAGAGGAGGCACAGAGGGAGAGCAGCACAGGTGGAGGAGGACAATGGAGTGATGCATCAAGAAGCCAAGAAAGCCAAGGATTGCCTGCAGCTGCCAGCTGCCAGGAGAGACACAGGAGCGGATTCTTCTCTAGGCCACTGCAAAAGCACCAAACATGCCCAGACCTTGATTTCACACTTCTAATCTCAAGCAATAGATCTGTTGGTCTGTCCACCTGATTGGTGATCATCTGTTGTAGCAGCATTTAAGACTAACGTAGAAGTTTCGTTAATTAAATATCAGTGTAGAACCCAATTGAGGTGTCTTTGGACTAGAACTGGTTGGGCCTGGGTGGACCAAAGAGATCACTCTGGATTCATCATTGTTGCCCCCAGTAGGTACCATTTTTTTTTTTTTTTAGTTTGTCAGAACACCTGAAATAAAAAACAACATCATAGATACCCTTGAATGGAAATGAAGTCCTGGTGGAAACTGCCTGTCACTGGAAAGTCAACATGTCCTCCCACATTAAAATTCTCCTCTGGTCTTCATTTGACTGTGGTTTTGTTTTGCTTTTCAATTGACCTTTGTTTTGAATTGAACTTGAGCAAAAATAATGGGATTGGATATGACAATAAGATGTTGGTTCTGTTTTCTATTACCGGGGCAATTCAATTCATGGTGTGAAGAGTGTCAGTGGGTCTCGCTGAATGTGTGCCAATTTATGATTGTTGTTTAAAAGTGACACTTTAGTTTTAAATCTCATCCAGTTTGGAAACAGTTGAGAAAATGGCAAAGCCAGAACCACCATCCTAATACTGTGCTTCAAATCTTGGTTCCTTTTTATTCTGGAGGAGACACAAAAATAAATAATTTAAAACTCAACACTTAGGTGAAAATATATACAGGGATCCACTAAATAGAAAATACATGCAGCCACTAGATGCTGGAAAGTGTGATCTTTGGGGAAGTTGATAACCAGAAAGAATGTGGCAGTTGGGGCTGACATTTGGATAAGGAGTGAAAAGTCCGGGGCTCAGACCATCCACATCATGGTGTTGTCTTTAGATTTCTTGTGAGGCCAAGCCATGCCTGAACAGAGGTGAGAAACAAAGGGAAAGGGGTGGGGGTGGATTATTAAAATTAATGATTTCTGTAGCGTGAACATGGAACAAAGATGAGGAGGGTCAAAAGGTCTGAATTCATCCTTGCTTTTTCCCAGTTGTAAGTGTAGCTGGACCTGACAATCTTGCATCCTGATGTTTCATCTCTGGGATTTAGGAGTAGATGGTGGGCACCTGTAAAGCATCAGAGTACTTGTTATTTCACACATCCCCAGACACACCAAGAGCAATACTAGCCAAGTATCTATTCCCCTGTTTTACCTGAGACTCAAAGAGTTTAAAGAAATTCCCCTCTATCTCAGGGACAGTGAATCAATGAGCTGGAATCTAATTACTAATCTAATTCTAAATCCCAGTTTTTTCCCAACTACTGTGTTGACCTCTTGGAGAACCCTGGGAAGCTACTTTCTTCAATTGAAAAGACTGACTAGTCCAGATCTCATCCCTAAGCTAGTCTTTAATGTAGCACTGGGAAATAAGCTAGTGTGAAATTATTTATTTACTAAACTCTATCATTCGATATTGCCTGTTTTCCATGTCAATAAGCACACCCGTTCATTCCCAAGAAAGTCTCTCTTCCTGGAAACAGGCATATTTCTTGGGACAGATTCTTCAGGAGACACACAATATTTTCTAGTGATTATTTCATCGAGGATGCTCAAGTCAGAATGAGAGATGAATACATCACTCTGAGTTCCTCTGGAGCAAGAGCTGGCATGTCTCTCCATGTAACTGAATTCAAGACGGAAGCCCTGGCATAAAGATCTTGTTATGTTGAGCTGACTTCCAATTTGCTTTGTCGAATTTTTTCT